TCAAATTTACATTTCTGGAAATTAGCTACAAATAAATGATCATCAGCAATAATTAACAGCATGCAATAGTGGATTTTTTTCACATAACAACTTACAGTAGCTGTTAGTACATTTGTAACTGAGCTTTAGAAGTAAATTAAAGTAAAGCAAATGCTTGAGGCTTGCACTTAAATTGTCACAGAAACAGAATTTAGTTCCCAATAATGTATGAGTTGATTCATCATAAACATTGAAAACAAGTAGCGAAAGGCTGTATATTGACCAAATGTTCTGGTTCCATTTAAAATTCTATATTCTGGATGTTTTATCAAAGTTGATTAACTCTTATGATAATAGCAAGTCTCTTAGGAATGGTTGCATTAGTTATGTATCACAAGTTAAAGGTTATCAAACAGTAGGAAGCCTTCTTTAACAGATAGTGAAATTGAAGTTTCTTACTCAAGGAGTGTTGACAGTTCAGACACTGAAAGTAGGTTTAAGTTATGTATCAGTGTATACCCTTTTCGTACAACTAACCATAATAAACAAGAAATAATACTTCCCTCTGTCTTAATTTTAAGGATAGACATATTAATTTCATTGTGTATGTGACACATTTGTAGTAGAAAGTCCCAATTTAAAGTTTCCATGAATTATGCCCATTTTCCCATTCATATCTACCCCCATTACACATCTAAAGTGTACTTATATATAAAGATATAGTTACCAGATATCAAAGATCTCTATTTTCACCTCTGATCTAAACTCACTATTTTTCCAGCAGATTACAGCATTCGAGTCCAAGTTTGAAGTTTCGAAATAAATGATTATGATAGCTTCTACTTACTTATATCATAAGGCAATTACCACAGTTAATTTAGCATTTGAGTATGCTTTGAAAGCAACAGTGAGTCACCTAGGAATTCAAAGTATTGTTTAAAGCTGCTGATAATACATTTTGTTCTCTTACCAAATGTCCCCTATTTTGCATGATGTCCTCTTTTTCTGTAAGTTTTCATTAGTTCCCCCCCACCTCCTTTTTTTTTTTTAGACAGAGTCTCACTCTGTCGCCCAGGCTGGAGTGCAATGGCGCGATCTGCACTCACTTCAATCTCCAACTCCTAGGCTCAAGCAGTTACAGTCGCTGGGATTACAGATGTGCACCACCACACTGGGCTAATTTTCGTATTGTTAGTAGAGATGGAGTTTCTCCATGTTAGCCAGGCTGGTCTCAAACTCCTGGTCTCATGTGATCAGCCCGCCTGGAATTAGAAGCGTGAGCCACTGTGCCAGGCCTAGTAGCTCCCATGCCTTTTGTAATTAAGTAACCACTGTCAGAGACTCATGTGAACATCTCCAACAGCCACTCCAAAGTAAGCTCCATCTATTAAGCATCACTCTCTGGATATTTCACAAAATCTGCAAAATTAATGATTCCAAGCCAGGCTTATCTGTTTAAACATCAGTATTCTATGCACCATGCTCTACTCTCCAGCTGCAGGCTTTTACTCGCCTGGTAGCCCCTCCCCTCTCTATTCACTGGCTGGACCTAGAAACACACCTTTTCAAATCCTCTTTCTTGTTCAGCCTACATGCCATTGGCCACTATATTTGATTGATACCACCTCCTAAATATCCTTGAAACATACATCCCTTCCTCACTACATTATATTGCCTCTGTCGTGTTTTAAGTTATCATCAGCCTCTTACCTTGACCACTGCATTATTCTTTTCCTAGTTTGCATGCCTGCCACACTGCCAGGGAAATTTCCTTTCCAATTCAAATCTTATATTTCAATCACTAGTGTGATTGAAACACCCTATATTTACGGAAGAATTTCACTGGCCTATCTCAAAAAAGTTTCTGTAATCCAGATCTATTTTATGCTTCCAATCTTCTTGTTATTCCTCATATCTTCATTCCCCACTACTTATGCACCAGTGGCATCAAACTCATGCCAGTCTCCTTCCCAGCTTGGGTCATTGTAGTGTTTCCTTCTCTAGCCACACATGGCTACTGATAAACTCCAACTCGTTTTCTAAGATTAAGTTCAAACATTGAGATTCTGTGAAACATTCCCTACCTCTCCACCAACAATTTCAAATAATAGTAGGAAAATATTGTTTGAAAAAGGTGATTTAGAAATGCAAAATGAAGTTAATATTGAATGGATAATAAAAAGAAAGACACATGAGAAAGTAAAATTCTATTTTCTGTCTCAGAATCACAAGATTTTATGGCTGAAAGTGTTGTTACAGTCAATATAGACCAAAGTTTTTGTGGTTTCCATATAAAAAGTAAAATCTCTTGCCTTAAAATGAAGTTTGGGAAATTTGTACCTAGTTGTGTAATACTGACTGTGTAATTTGTGTGATCCTTATACGGCATTCAAGAAAGCTGTCACTATACTACATAACCATAAAAAAGTCTAGACTCATTGAATCTGAGCTTCATAGTCTCCATTTCTCTGTCTTCCCACAGCCAACATTTAAATCTCCCTGAAGAAATAAGGTTTGCCATCATTTGATATTCAAAATTCATTGCCCATATTCAAAATTCATTGATTAAGACACAAAATTTTATTGCAAGTTGGGACAACTAGGTCTTTCTTGCTTTTCCAAAAATCAAATTTTTAAAAAACCTTTGCCTAGGAAATCAAAATATGAAAAAAAAGCAAAAAGAATTATTATAGCACAATGTTGACTGTGCTGCATCTCATCAGTAAAAGTTTTAGAGACAGACGGAATCAAGCAAGCTATTTTGGCACATCTCATAATTTCAGTGGATACGGTTACAATCATGAGACTTACTCAAAGCTCTCTCCTGGAGAACATTCCAAACATTCAAAACCTAGTTTTTAAAATAAAATTTATCTTAAGGAATGTCACTTTTTGAAGCTCTGAATATGTAAATCATGTTTACATTAATAATTGATATATTTAAAATTATAATTGGCAAAAGTTTCAGAATACATAAAATTGGAACTGTGTGTTTTCTTTCAGCAGCCACATTTCAGAGAGAGGGATGGATTGGCATGGACCAATATGGTCTATCTTCCTTAAACCCAGAGTCTCTTAGTGCCCTGAGTGTGAAGCACTTTTCTTTCAAGTTGAGGTCCACTCTTCCATAGACAATTCTATGAAAAGGTCTTACAAGTTTTTATCTACACCTCTTGCTTCTTGAAATGGATAATGATAGATTCTGAACACGTGTCTGAACACATGGAAATCTCTTGCCCCTTTTCCCTTCTAGGATCTTTGCAAGCTTACAATATGTACACGTTTTCTGTAAGTCACCAATGCTGAGTTACTGGCATGAAAAATGACCCTGTTACTTGGAAAGTAGTTTCACTTACAAGTCCCCCAGGCCCTGTAATGTCTAAACCTCCTGTGCCACTTTATGTGACTGCCCCACCCCCACAGAGGAGCATGCACAGGAAAAGCAGACTTCCCTTCCCCCACACATTTCCTTAGTTTATTTACAAAACGTCTTGGAATGAGAATGAGCTGCTTGTGGTTCCTGTGGCTGATTTGGGGATGGTTTCCTACAGGCAGAGGATGCTGGTCAACCGAATGACCTCTCTGTAACTAACCCGTGCACTCCTGTGGTAAGGCTGTTTGGTCTTATGGGTACCTCTTCTAACTAAGCCTGGAGGGATTTGTTTTTGTGGTAAAGGACTTAGCAATAACCAAACGTCACTGTAAAGACAGACTTAACTATGCTAAGGTCCATCAGAGTCTACTCCTTCTACTACCAACAAAAGAAGCCAGAAATACACTGGGATGCCTTTAGATTCCTGTGCATGAATCTTTCTTTCTCTAAGGATTATGATTTTTTTTTCCTCTGGCATCTTCAAAGGACAATAAAGCTATTGGCAATATACTTGAGTGAAGAACACAATAGGAAAAGAAATAATCCTAAACACCAGCTATATGAGAAACGTCCCTTAGCAGTTTTTATTAGCTCATGCAGAGGTAATGATGACTAGTTAATAGTCAAAAGAAGATTTAAAGTTGTGATGATCTTCAGTAAACATAAGTCTCCCAAATATTTGTTTCTGTTTGTTCAGACTTGCTAACGAACACTCTTAACTCACACATTGGTAACTCTTGGAAACCCTGGAATGTGTGTAACAGTGATTCTTAAGGTAGACTGGTCCATTCTCACCAAATATACATTTCACTCGAGTAAGTAGAAGATGAGGGCACAGAAACTGTAAGACTCCAGTCCCAAAAGAGAAAATATTGAACATAAATTACCATAAGTAGTCACAGATCCACATGGAAATACTGGTGAGATAAGCATCACATTTTCACCATTATATCTATTTGAACTGGCAATGATTAAGCTCGTGTGAGAAGAAATATTTCATGAAGGAATTGTGGGGTGCTCAACAGCTAACATAGTTCCAACATCAGTTTGCATTGGAGCAAAAAGTAAAATTGTGTTCTCTAATGCACCACAGTTCAAAACAGATATTATAAAACTTAGTGTCCTTACTCAAGTTAAGCCCTAGTGTACATTATTTTACTTACTGAAGAAACTAGAAATATATGCTTATCCTCCATTACGTAAATGAAAAGCAAAGCAAATGTGTATTAATTTCACTGTGTAAATGAGCACAAAATTACCAGTCCCCAATCTCCCAGGGTGCTAGTTCAGTGAGGATATTATATATATAAAGAGAATATATGTATAATTAGTTATACATAATTATACAGTATATATTACATATAAAGAGAATATGTATACACACACACACATAGATAAGTCCTTTGAGGCAGTATATTCTTATTTTTCAAATGCTCAATTTTAAGAACTTTGAAATTAAAAACAATATATGTGCTAAAGGGAAATAAAAGATCACAAAAAATGGTAGGAAAAAATCCCACCTCATTTACCCATTACCAACAAATTGAAACCTAATGAAAGAAAACATATATCCTGCCCAGAAAATGTCATTTAACTTTTATATCTGTGATTTAACCTTTGTAATGTCTTTCTACATTTGTCTCCGCAGTGCATCCTAATGTCAGTCAAGGCTGCCAAGGAGGCTGTGCAACATGTTCAGATTACAATGGATGTTTGTCATGTAAGCCCAGACTATTTTTTGTTCTGGAAAGAATTGGCATGAAGCAGATTGGAGTGTGTCTCTCTTCATGTCCAAGTGGATATTATGGAACTCGATATCCAGATATAAATAAGTGTACAAGTAAGTGCCTACACGAAATTGTATTTTTATCTCATCCTTGGTGACTTTTCCAGATTGAAATGGCCTCTAATATATTTGTGATATTCAATGTTAAGTAAACAATAATGTTTATCTGATAATTAGGCTAAACCACACTTGGACTTAACCATCAGAACCAGAAAATTTTTATCACTAACTTACGAAAAAGCACTCATGTTTTGGTTTTCTTTTTAATTCTGAAAGCAAAGGCTGGGCATGTGATTATTGCTCATTGAACCTATAGAAAAGTACTGTAAGTCTCAATTCCATCTGAGTTTCCATTATCAACACAAAATCCAAGTATTAACTAACTTGCCGAATCATTTCAGCTATTTTGACTTCAAGAGAGATTCCAGAGCAACTGAAACATTTATTTATCAATGGGAAATAAATGTTGGGAGTACTGTCATCTGGACCTTGAAAACCTGTTTTTCACACTGCAGACGAAGTGTGCTTTCTCAAAAATGTAAATTAGGAAATACCACTCTATTCAAATATCATATGTAGTTCCATCAATCTGTCCAAACTCATCTCCTACAACTCCCCCTCAGCCATTTTGCACCAGCCTCACTTGCCTTCTTGTAAGATCTTCTCACCTCAAGCCTTTGCAATTATGTTCTACACTGGCTGTTCTAGCAGTTGGAAAGCTTTTTGCCCACATCTTTGCATGGCTGGCTGTCTTATTTCATTGATGATTTTGCTCATATGTCACCTTCTCAGAGAGACACTCCATGATCATCTTATCCAAAATAATCAGCCTGTTCCCCCTGTCAACCATTCTCCATCTCTTTTTCCCACCATTTGCTGTTGTTTTTGTTGTTGTTGTTGTTTGTTTTCCAGAGCACTTATCACTTTGGAGCTAGACTGCCTGGTTTCAAAAAGCAGTCTGATCTGTTGTCCTGGGTTAGTTTCATACCCTTTGTTAGCCTGAGTTTCCTTATGTGTAAAATGAAATTATACCAATGACTACCTCATTGGATTGTTGTAAACTTTAAATGACTTAATAATATTGTAAAACATTATAGCAATCCTGGCTTACAGTAAGCGCCATATAAGGGTGAACTATTGTTACTGTTGACCATATGTCCTCTGCCAGGATGTAAACTTTCTGAAGCCTGACTCTTACCTCTCTTGTGCATTGCTGTCAACCAGTATAGAAAACAATGCCTGGCACATAGTAGGCAATCAAATATTTGTTGTAAGAATCAATAGCCCTCAAGAACAACACGAAGGCAATATCCTTTGTATATTTTCTTAAGGTTCTGATGAAACATTTTCACTATCACTTAATATAAACAGATATTTCATCTTATAAATATTCTTGGCTATATATATATACAAAACAAAGATTTTTTCATAGGGCAATCAGTATAATGATTTTAAAATCAATAACCAATGTACACCAACTAAATCACTGTGGAGGAATCCTGAATTCAGTCTGGCAAAATAATTTTGAACTTCAGGTGTTTATTTGATGCTAAAGTTGTGTGTGCCTGTGTTTGACACATGCAGAACATAAAACTTTATGTTTTAAAGATAGTTTTATGTTAAGAGAACATAATGCAGGCATATTTCTCTTTCTTTTTTCTCTTTCAGAATGCAAAGCTGACTGTGATACCTGTTTCAACAAAAATTTCTGCACAAAATGTAAAAGTGGATTTTACTTACACCTTGGAAAGTGCCTTGACAATTGCCCAGAAGGGTTGGAAGCCAACAACCATACTATGGAGTGTGTCAATATTGGTAAGGAGAACCTGGAATAATTTGAAGAAGTGATAATGTCAGTCTCCATGGAAGTGCTTTTCAAAGTCCTTTGTCAAAAGAACTTGAAGGTTCTTGGGCTGAGATCTCTTAAGACTGTCTCTATCCTTCCTTATAAAGATACTCTCTTAAAGGTGTTTTTTATAACCTTATCTAGTATGTATTATAGTACAATTTAATACAGTGGGTGCTTCCTTATTTCTTAAGGACTATCAATAATTGTTTCAACTGTTCTGTTTATGATAGATTTATTTTTATTATTATTTAATGACTTTTTATTTAAATTATTATTTAATGAATTTTATTTAAGTAAAAATTCAGTCAAGACACACACACACACACACACACACACACATATATATATCTGACAGTGATCTGTTATGTGACATACATATATGTCTTGAACTTAACTTTTTCCTTAAAGCAACAGTTTCATAAAACACCTAAGTCTAATCTCAACTAATGACCAAAGTTATTTTCCAAGGAGGGAACATATATTCTCTTGACACAGCCCATTAATGCTCAGTAAGTGGATCAAAGACCTAGGAACTGGAATTGATTTAGTTGAAATCTCACTCTTTTTCTCTCACACTGCTATGCTGAAATATTCTGCTTCCACGGGTATTGATATATAATAAAGAGGATTGTGGACTTACTCAAACTGACAGATTGAGACAGTCCCTGGGTCTGATTAATTGCAGGCTGAATTTCCTGAAGGGGAGGTCCCTCAGACAAGTTGTTTTTCTAAATAACAGATCACTGTCAGGCTATATTTTCCCTCTTTTAAACGTTGTGCAGCTACTACAGCTACAACTTTGATGAACACTTGGGAAGCAGATGCTAAACCAAATAGGAAAATAGCCTAGGAAATCTCAAAATCCCCTGGGCAAGAATTATAAGAACCTTTGATGCTGCGGTGATGTTGGCATATCCACACAACTGCCCTCCTGATTCAGTACAAGATAGTCTCCAGGACTCCCCTGGGGTCCCCATCTTAGGAGTCCCTTAGAATCTAAAGTGCTGGAGTAATAACTCTAAAGTGGTGGGTTAACCATTTCAAGTCCACTGCAGCACTTTTATTTCTAAACAATGTTTTTGATAGAATACAATAAATAGATATTTTAAAGATAATTTTAGAAGCATCTGGAAAACAATGGTCTTGAAATAGTTCGTGGCTCATTTTGGTTACATTTTTTCTTCTCTAGTTGTAAAAACACATGGAAAAAAAGCAACCTAGGAATAGGGTAAAAAGTACAAAAGAAAAGCACTACAAGTTCTTTTTCTTATAGGTCCTGAGGGCTGATGATTAGAGGTAATAAGTTCCAAACACTGGAAAAAATAGAAAACATGTCTGTGGAATATTCAAGAGCAGAAATTCAGGATGAGTTGCAGAATGTTTGCAACATTTCTCTACCTGGAAAAAAAAGGCACATAGTTAGATTTTTTCAGCTGTTGAAGTTGTAACATTCAGTTCTGGAAAGGCTATTTACCTGAAATGTATTAATGCTTTTCTGTCAGGGAGATCATTTCACACTTGGCACTACTGGATTTGTCTTTAAAGCTTACTGATAATTTATACTACTAGTAAGACTAAGACTACTTATTTCTTAACACAACTACATTTAAGTTTATATATTTTGGAAGAGAGTTTAGCAGTCCAAAGGCCAGTTACTGAATTTGGTTCATTTAACAGATGTAAATGACCTAGAACACTGTAGTAACACAAATCACCAACTTTCGTTCAGGGCTGGCTCCTGTTGTTTGCTCGATAAGATATGTCTCCCATCATATGGTGCCTAGCCTACAGGTACTACACCTGCCATGCCTTTAGTCCAGTCCAGAATTTCAGGGAAGATGACGATGACCTGCTTCTATATCTTGAAGGAATATTAAAGCCTGTTCCTTTTACAAATGTGAAAACTAGGATCCGGAGAGCCAAAATGATGACCCCAAAGAAACATTTTAAGTTATTTTCAGTGCTGTCATTAGTAACTTAACTTCAGCTTCCCACTACTCACCCAACAGAAAGAATGTGTCTTTCTCATTGCTAAAATCCACACCGTATTTCTAGTTTTCTATCGAGATTTTAAATTGAGAGGAAAGGTCATGAACAGAGGAAATGCTACCCTGATACAGAGCTGGGATGAAAGAGGTAAGCCACAATATATCCGCTTTCCACGGTTTTCGGGTCAAATGGAGCTGAAACATCCACTGAACCAAATTTTATAAGAGAACATATTCTTTTCACTTTGTGTCCAGATATTTGCTTCCTTTCTGCACTGTCATTTTGTCACCCTCATTGCTTCTCTTAGAGAGTTGGATTTGTTCAAGAAATCACAGAGAGAATATGTCTCACTCCAAGCACTGAGTAGTAAGGGACATTCTCTTGCTGTGTTCTATAGGTAACCATGCAACTAGTCAACAAGAGTTAGAGCAAAATGACAAGTAAAGTCATTACTAGTAGGACGTTACTAGTAGGACATCGTATTCAGCTTTCTTACCAATTCGGGAATCGCTTTTACAGCATCTCGCACTGATGATCAAACACAGCACAATCATTCCCAGGAACCGGAGCTCATTGCCTTTATGAGACATGTGCTTCATTTGCTTCATTAGTGAATAGCTAAAGATTTCCAGTTTTCAGATTGTTCTTAATACAGAAGCTAGAAGGAACACAGAAGGTGAATATTCTGTTTTTTCTTAACTACCTCTTAACCAAGGAGTGCTTCGATTCCACATTGTTCATTAAATGATCTGAAGAGAACTTAAATCACCTTTTGTGTTGTCTTTAGCACTTTTTTTCAGTTTTCATTTTTTTTCTGGAAATATTATTTGGATGCTAACATTGTAGGTTTATTCTACAGTATTTCTCTAAGATAAATTCGCCTCACCTCATGGTGCTTTAGCTCTCTGGTCTCATTAGAGCTTTTTACTACCTAAACTCATTAGTTTTGAATATGTTCCCTCCACCAATGAAACTATCTAAGGTTGTCCTTAGAATTTAATTTTTAAAACCATGCATCTTCTGACTGTAAACTAATAATTACCTAAGCTGTATTTTTTTAAATATGTTTTTCTGAAGTCCAAGTATACATTTGCTTAGACCACTTTTGCTATTATGAAAGAGCACCGAAGTTCTGGTCACTTGCACATCAGATAATTTTTTCTAATTCAGTCCTCTTAATTCTGGAATTAAATGAATACTGGACAAAGCGACAGCTCACAAACATTGACTTTCCTCTTCTCATTTGCTTTTTTGGAGGTGCTTTTTTTTTTTTTGTAATGCTAAGGATACACTAGTTTTTAATGGTTAATATCAGAATGGCATGCTGCAAGATAATATCCATAACCAACAAGAGATTATAATATTATTAATTGACTTAGTTACTCTACTCTTGAATGAAAATTGTAATGGTATAACCGAGCATGAGGACTATTTTAAAATGGTTCAATAGAGTTCATTTCACTTAACAGAAACCTAAAGTCATGTATTTAATCAATTCCGTTTAATTCCGTGTTGCACTCAGGGACCTAAAACTGCCTGAAAAGGCCTGTGAAAAATGTATCATAAATGGATTTAAATTTCTAAAACATTTAAGTTATCTTTCTTGAGGCTGTTATAAGAGATAGTATTCTGCTCTAAAGTAAGGAATCATTAAATCAGAAGGCAATAAGGGAGGTTACTAGAAACTTCTTTTTGTGGAAAGACAGTCTTAAATCATCTGAAAGAGTTACTGTTGCTAGTTGTTTTTATACATTAGAAAGTTTTAGGGACATAAATATAGTAGCACCTTGTAGATGTTTCTTTTCTTTAGAAGTGCAAAAATATGTTACAACCTGAGAAAGCCATTATTGAAAACAAGAAACTAACACAGAAAAAGGAACCAAATCTCCAAAAGAAGCTTCAGAAAAAGTACATCAGGTCATCTTAGGAATCACTTGATCAGGTTAATTTTAGAAGCAGGTTATCAGCTGAAATTGACCCAGAATTCACATATAATAGACACCGCTATATCTGAACCATACTCAGTAACAGATATCAATCTTTAAGCATACAACAGCACATGAAGTAAGAAAAGGCAGTAAGTAGTAGGCCAAAGACCTGGATTCATTTTCTGCTCAAGCATTCTCTAACACAGAGTTTCTCAAACAGTGTTCCCAGTACCTGCAAATCAACATTACCTGTATTGTTAGGCAAATTCACAGTCCTACCCCAGTTAACTGAATCAGAAACTCTGGTGGGGGCTGGTGGAGAAAGCTCCAGCATTTTTTGTTTTAGCAAGTCCTCCAAGTGATTCTGATGCATGCTAATGTTTGAGAATCAATTCTCTAACACATAGGATAACAACTGTTCTTCAAATTCAGGTCAGGATCAATCAACAATTGCAGCAGTGCTCTGGAAATTATAAAGAATTGATCAATTTTAGTGATTATATTAAGGTTAGTCCCTGTGCTAATCAATCTAAAGAAAAAGGAAATGCAATGCAAAAATGAGTTTACCTGATAATGAGTACCAAACTGAAAACATTCCATTTCTGCCTTTCCCATTCTCTTGTTTTTATATGTAGGTCGTCTTGCCCGACTTTGATCTGCAAGATTTCTGCTCAAATTTGAGCAAGTTTTGATTGAAGCAAATTTTTTTTTTTAACTCAACGATAGTGAAAGTGGTTGGGAGCCAACTGAGTCTGTTTCTTCTGTTCTGTTTCAGTGCACTGTGAGGTCAGTGAATGGAATCCTTGGAGTCCATGCACGAAGAAGGGAAAAACATGTGGCTTCAAAAGAGGGACTGAAACACGGGTCCGAGAAATAATGCAGCATCCTTCAGCAAAGGGTAACCTGTGTCCCCCCACAAACGAGACAAGAAAGTGTACAGTGCAAAGGAAGAAGTGTCAGAAGGGAGAACGAGGTACAATCATAATAACAAAATGTGCTTATTTGAATCTTCATAATCTGTTGCACTTTTCATTTTATTTCTTAGGAAACATTTGGCATTATCTCTCATGCCTAATATCCTAAAATGTGTACCAAACAAGAACGTTGCTTATAAATTACAGAATATAGATGTGGTATTTCCAAAATATGGAGCCTGATGTCAGAACTTTAAACTACTATAGAAGTGTGGTAATTGAACTTTGATGAACTGCGTTGTATTGTAAGCATTTAGGGCATTATCTTTAATATAATCTGCTTTCCTAGTACCTAGAAAATTTTTGGGAAGTCTCATAAATACAAAGTCTAATGACTTTTGGTATAAGAACAAGACAAAGAAACACTGCCATCAAACATTCCTTTTCTCACTGCCTGCAAACCAAAGTAGTGAAATTTAGTGGTAAGCTTTTGTAGCTAAGCATATGTATATATATAAAATATATAATATAATATATATAATTATATATTATATATTTTATATTGTAAAATATATAATATAATATATATTTTATATTTTATATTATAAAATATATAATATAATATAATATATAATTATATATTATATATTGTATAATATGTAAATATATTAATATTTATATTATATATAAATATATTGATATATTATATATTAATATTATATAATATATTATGTATTATATACAAGCATATAATGTATACAATATATAATATATGCTTAGCTACAAAAGCTTTTTTTTATATATATATAAAATTAAAGACAGAATATCATTCTGTCATCCAGGCTGTATTACAGTGGTGTCATCATAGTTCACTGCAACCTCAAACTCCCAGGCTCAAGCAATTATCCCACCTCAGCTTCTCAAAATGCTGGGATTATAAGCGTGAGCCATCATACCTGGTCAGTACAGTTAATACTGACTTTATTTTGAATAAAATGATCAAGGCCACATTTTATGAATATAGCAAAATCATTAAAGATATTTGTCTCCAGATTTCTTTTCATATCACACTAACTTTATAGACCAGATTACAGAACCTATTCCATCAGTATTAACTATTAGAATTTGCTATGAAATCAACAAGGAGAAATATACCATTTAATAATATGATCCATTAGGGTGAATAAACTTCCAGCTAGAAGACCCTCAGTTGCCGATCTTTAAAATATCATTTTTCTGTCTTTCTCATTAATATCTTTAGCACCACTTCCTACAAATAATACGTTGTGTAGGTTTATGTAACTATTGGCAGTTATCTGGTGAGTCTATAAATGATCTTCTCAATTAATTCCAAAGGGGTTTGATTGCCTCTGTAGTTGACCTTTCTTAGCTTATTTCTCCATAGTTGACATTTATTAGGCTATTTCATTCGTTTATTAGCTTATTTCATTCATTTATTCATTCAACCTAGTTTTATTATATTCTTACTTTATGGCTATGCACAGTACTAGGGCCTAAGGATTCACAACTGAATGGCGTACTGTCTCTCTATTGTGAAGGTACACCGTGAAAGGTTGAGATGTTTAAACAGATAATCACAACATCATAGAGTAAGGGAGATTATAGACGTGTGAACTAGTTTAAAGGGAACACGGAAGAGGACACTGCAAACTTGAACATTGCTTATACAAGAGAGAATTTGGGTCACCTGTACTTTGCAAAGAAACATCCATTATGCCAAAAGATTGGCCATCACCAAAAGCTATAAAACCTGCTTCTGCCATTCTAATCAAGTAGTTAATGTGAAAAAATTCTTGAAGACATGGTTATTTAAAGAGAACTTCAAACTTTTGTAAATTTGTAGGAGGTTTTGATTAAAATTTAGTTTAAGGAATGAAAGCTGGCTAGTGAAAAAGCCTTTTGGCATTTGTTACCAATTAATTTAAAACATCTTAGATTTTAAAAGTTGGATTTGGAAGTCAAATATTTCATCATTCTACTTGTTGGTATGCTCCCATTGCCATACATTTACTTATGTTTACTAAATTTCTTTAAAATTTAATGACTTACAGGTGGTCTTTGCTCATATCATTCTTTTCACAAAGATTGTATATTATTAATCAGTATTCAGTATGCATTCCTTTTAAAATATAAGTGAAGAAAGTTATCCAATAGCAGAATTAAATCACAATTCTAATTACATTTTATTACTTTTACCTGAGAATGTGATCTTTCAATAGAGTATATTTTGGTAGCACTTGACTTAAACATTAACATTGAAAATGTCAGCTGTTAAAACTGGCATTTATCTCTCTAGAAAAAGATAAAATAAATAATACCACAAGAAGTTTGAAACAGTAACCTGTGACATAAGATTTTGCTCAAAACTGTCTTTCTGGTTTGTTTTCTTCCCCTCTGAGGATACAGTGACATTTTACATTTACAAAGAGAAGTTTATACAGCTAGAAAAACTTAGGTGTTTTATTTTTTCAAATTTTATAAAATATAGACTAACAAGTGGCAAATACGAATCATAACTACAATTTACTTTCCAGATTTAGTCCTACTTTTATTTTTCTTCATTTATTTTTCAAGGTGTTTATCAAAAACTTTTTTTAAGTAGCCTAGAAACTTAAGGTAGGAAGAAAATCACTTCTCTCTTTGTTGTTTATCTCTCTAATCCTCCAGTTTTCTTAACTTCTCTTAAGGTTTAGTTAGCCAGTATCCTATTTGAACACAAACCAGATAGAAAAGTAATAATGACCTCTGGACATCCCACCCTATCCTCTCTATCAAGCATCATATCAAAATAATAACGTTATCCAGAGTCTTCATTTAGGCTCTACTATATATTTATATATTATGTATAATATATAATAAAAATATCTTGAAAATTACTCATCTTGAATTTATAACCTAAAGGATAAGATCCCCACATATACATAGAGAGAAGCATATCATCAGAGCAAATTTAGTAGAGGACTTTATCTTTATATTTTTCTATATAAGTTGACATTTCTTATTTTAAGTAGAGTAAGCATTAGAAACATTTAATCAACTTCAAAGATAAACACCATAAGTGGTACGGTACAGATATGACTTCCCCTCACACTTAGGATAGCTATTATTTGAGTTGCTCCCAGATGCTTATAGATTAAAAAAAAAAGAAGATTCTTTTAGGTTCGTAGCTTGAGCATTTCTAGATGAGCATACTAAAAGATAAAGCTTTTCTTATAAAATTAAAGCTTGAATTTAAAGTTAGGTCTGTGATCCCTGCCTAAGAGGTTAACAATAGAAAGAGGTAGATAACTCATATTTGGAAAAGGTAGGAAGCATGTGTTCAGGACTTTTTCTGCTCCGTTGAAATTGCCAAAGGCAAGATCTCCAGGGAAGAATGATAAGATCCAGAAATGACTTTTCAAAATGTACACAAATAAGAAGTTGAATAGATGAAAATAGTTTGTAGGAACGGAGTGGATTCATCTAGTTGGGAGATGCTTTTTAAATATGTATGTGTTGCAAAATCTTACACACATTTTTTCTTCACTACCATTTTCTCATGCTTAGAATAAGTTAACCCGAGGAGATAAATTTAATTGTTGTATCCTTACATTTAAATTATCTCATGTATTTGTTTACAGTATTTCAGATTATTCCCCTTTACTTGACATGCTACCTTTTAATCAGCCTGAATTTCTCCATCAATTACTAACTTTAGTAAGAGGTTATTACCAATAGAATTCTTTCTAGCTTGAACTTAATTGAATTATATATTTGAAATATCAAAAATATAGATTTTAAGAGATTATACAGACTAGTATATAAACTATTATCATGTGTATTGAAACATCATATTTAAGTAGAAGTAAACAAGGAGTAAATGCATTTCCAGTGATTGCCAGATTTTATTTATTGACTTTTTGGACATACAGTGTGTAACCATCTCAGATAAGGAAAACTGAAACAGCTCAGGAAGACGTGTGTACACCTGCATTTGATGTAAAAAGGTAGTTTTGTGTATGTGGTGGTGGAAGCAGAGTCAACAAACACATTTTTCATTCATTTGTACCTTCCTCTAATTAACTAAAGAGAATTTCCTATAGATGGTTTTTAAGGCAACACACCAAGAATAAAAGAAATTTTGTTCTTTGGTTAATTTTATGAAAAAGATTCTTATTAGTCACGTTAGTGTAAGATCTTGGGATAGGAAGGAGAGAGAAGAGCACGTTGCTGGAGGAAGTGAGGTGGAGATCTACCTGGTATAAAGATAAGCTAGCATTTATTCCACCAGAGAAACAGAAAAGGAACCCTTTAAAATAGAAAGAAATAAAATGTTTAGGGACACTCCACGGAAGAAACAAATGTGGGAATCATTGTATTATTGTACTATTTGTGTATACTCTAGGTTGTCTTACGTACTTTCTCAAAATTAAGTATAGTAAAAGTCTACCAGGCATTACATAAAGGAAATGTCTTACGTGTTAACTTATAAAGTGTTACGAATCATGCCCTCTATTACCAATATTATAAATACATATTATGTTTATTGTGAGTACTATATTTAAATTACAATAAGATCAGTTTTTAAAAGTCTAAGCCAAAATGGCAGTGAGTCTGTTGTGTTTCCTCTGCTGTCCTTTAGTTTATGCCTTAAAAATAACTACTCCACTGCTGTATCATTGAGTTCTATGGAAAGGATTTATTATATTAAATATTAATTCAGATTTAAAACAAGATATTTATCTAAGATTCCCAGTACAATTCATCAAATCCATATAGATGGATTTATTAGCTCAAAATTGTGGATGCCAACTGGCTTTGAGTATTTATTTCATGTCCTCTCCCTACTTTAACCTCATGAAGACCAGCTGACCTGAAGACAGTCATCCTGGTTAAGCACTGGGGAGTGGGATCTTTCTACTCTTTCCCTACACCTGTTAGTGCACTAGTCTCTTGACATAGTTCAGAGAAAAAAATTAACAAAGTACAGAGCTGAGATAATAATGGCATTAGAGAATGTGGTTCTCAACTGTGGACAACTTTGCTCCCCAAGACACAT